ACCTTTTAAATCCTAAAATCTTTAGAGAATATTCTTGATTATATAAATGTTTTATTTAATAATCTGTAATTTTGATATTTTTGTTTTAATATAATCTAATATTAGTAAAGGCATATATTTATATCTATTAAAAAGATTAATATTATTAATAAAATGTATTACACTACCGCTATCTAATATAATACTATTAGAGAATTAATAAAGTAAATCAGAAATAATAATATAAATTCTATAATTAATAGAATCTTAAATAAAGTAAACAATTATTCTTGATTTAAGGTTTTGTGAATTATAAAATTGAAAATCATTACTTTTTAAATTAATCTATTCTTTCTATTTTTAGGTTTTACGCATATTCAACCATCAATTATCCTTAATTCTTTTTTGTATATTATTATATTTCTTTTTTATTAATAAAATCAGATTCTGAAAATCATATTTTCTGATAAATATGAACTCCATTGTTTAATATATTTTGAAATAATAATTTCTATCTACTTTTTCATTTTTCCAATTAGATTCTGATTTGTAAGGATATTCATATCAATCACTTATCCTTTTAAAACCTTTTTTCCGAATATTGTTTTGCTTTCCTTACGGATTATCAGGATTCTACTTGAATTTAAAATTGATAATCAAAAATGTATTCTTGCTTTTAAAAACTAAAAAATTCTGATAAATTAAGTTATTAAAAATATTCCCGAATTGTTTTAAAAAATAATTAGGAATTCTGAGTTAATTGTTGATTTTAATCTAAATAAATATAATACTCATTTAAATGGAGAATATACATACTCCCATAATTTATAAAAAATTAATAATTACTAAGTTATCTTCCATTTCGATATAATACAATTTTGTAGTTATATAAGCTTTAATCTATTTATTATACTATTTAATTAAATCGATTCAATTTATAATTATCTATTAAAAAATATTTCGATATTTTTGAATAATAATAAATTTTATAATTGTTATAATAGATACAAGCTTATCCTATAGTTTTTGAATAATTATCTTAAATAATAAGACTTTAGCATTATTGTTTTCAAAAATAAATTTTATAAAATGAAATGTATTTATTGTTTCTATAATTTATTTATAAATGTTTTGATATGATTTATACATAATATTATACTTATTTCTCTAATATTGGTATTCTTTTTGAAATATAAAATGCTCAATTGAGATATTTTAGAAAATAATTGTTTTAAATCTTACAGACTTAAGTATTAACTCTTTAGAGGATAGTAATGGAGTTATTTTAATATTTCTTTCTAAATTCTTTTATTGAAATTATTTGTAAATATTAAGATTAGAAAGATATTTTATTTAATTATTCAAATTATATTTTCTTATAAGATTAATGATTGTAATGAATTTAGATAGATCCTTAGTAAACCAGTCTTTATTATAAATATAAATCAATTAGTAAAAAGTTTTTTTATTTTTTAAGGATTTTTTAGAACTAATTGGAGTGATTAGAGTAGATTTGGAATCAGATAGTTTAATATTCTTTTAGATACCTTTCGATATATAAAGATATTGTAGATTTAAAAACTATTTTGATTAATATTTATAGATAATAAATTGAATGATTTTTGAGGAATTGGATTTTGATATAGTAAAGTTATAAAGAGGTATAGAAGAGAGTGTATATGAATTAGAGTAATTAAAAGATATATATATATAATAAGGATACAATATAAGTGCCAACCGGATTTATAACTATTATAAAAGTAATAGCTATATCTAATAATCATTTTGATTTGGAAATAGATATATAGAGTGATAATAAACTAGATTGACTTAAGATATAATTCTAATAATCATATTTGCTTTATATATCCTAATTAGATAAGGTACTCGCTTAATTAGGTATATAGAGTATACAAATGAAAGGAAGGAAATAGTGTTAGTAATTATAGGAGCAAGTACTCCGAGGGAGTATCAGAATTAGTACTTGTAAGGTTACACTATACGGTGAATTCCGTGACATACGATTATACGATTATACGATTATACGATTATACGATTATACGATTATACGATTATACGATTATACGATTATACGATTATACGATTTAAAATGAAAATATCTAGTTACATACTAAAAAGTTCCGATCTGTACTAAAAACTCGATTTTTATTACTATTTATTTAAAAAAAGACTCTATCCCCTAAGATGTCTTACGATCAATAGAAAAAACTAAATACTAAAATCATTAAAATAATACTTTTTTTTAAATAATTCTATAATAATACTATAAATTCTTTTAAAAAAGTAATTATATATATCTTTTAATAGAATTAATCAATCTATTAATTTCAAAAAAAGAGATATATTATTTAACTCTATATGAAATAGTTTTATGAATAATTATATAATAATAAAAAAAGAAAATATTTTTAAACAGAATATTCAAAACTCATATATTCAAAAGATTAAATATAAAGAAAACCTAAGTATTTGAGATTTTTAAAAGTTTATTAATAAAACTAAGAGATATTATTTTCAAAAAGTTAATACATATAAAAGTACTTTTATTATTATTTTCAGATATTTTATTATAATAAAAAGCCTTATTGAAAATATAGACTGGAATAAACATTCTCTTTTATAATAATAGCTTATTTATAAGACAGGTATAGAGAATATATTAAAATATTTAATGTAAAGATATATATAGAATAAAAAGTATTATAAATAATCTGTCTATATTAAAATTTATATGTATATAATGTATATAGAATTACAAATAGACTATTTGAATAAATAGTTAGAATAATATTTCTATTCTATAGATTAGTATAGAATTCGATTTTCTAATAAAGTATATTCTAAATCCGGTTCTTAAGGACAAATTTATATTACATAATTTCCAAAGTAATATATTTATTTTGATTATGTTCAAATAAAAAATAAAAAGACTTAAAAGAAAGATTTTGATAAATAGTATTATTGGAGGGCAATTAAATTCAATTTTAAAAGTATTTTAATCTTTTATAATTTAAAGGATTAGAATAATAAAATCATTTATAATTATTATATAGATTGAATCCTTAATTCTATAATAAAGTTATAAATCAAAAGAAAAGATGATTTTTAACTAAGATTCAAAAAACTAATAAAATAAGAATAATATAATAAATAAAATAAAATAATAGAAAAAGAACTATAAGCTGGAATACGATAAGAATTATTTATATTCTATCAATTTAATTTCAATAAAAAATTACTAATAATCTCTTGAAGTTAATCTATGAAAGTAATCTTATTAGGATAATAATACTATAAAGTAATCAATTCAGAAGATATAGAATAATCTCTCTCAAGAGATTATTAATAAATAAATAGAAAACATATTAAAGAGATTATAAGCCATTTTAAATCATAAAGAATAAATAACAGACTATCAATATTAATAATATTAATATTTATATTCAAAAATAAATTCAATTTTATTAATTTATTTATATATAATTCACAAAATGAGAATTATAATATCTTAAAGATAATATATCCTATTTAAATAAAAATCATATATAATTCTTTATCAAATATATTTATATATATTAATATTTGAAATTATTATATTATATTAATAATTAATGTTTTTATATTTTGAAAAAAATTCATTAAAATGAAGAGTATAATCTGAGTAATTTTTATATTCGGTTTTTTCTATCAGTTGCGAGGGTACCAACCACAGCCAGGAAATGTGGCCCGTATACAAGTAAGAACATCAATAACTTTATAAATTATATCAAATATAAAAACTATTCAATTAGAATTTAAAAATAATATTTATTAATATAATAATAATTAAGAGCTGAACTATAAATTTATCTATTTTATTTTAAAAATAATTTCATAGAGTTTTTATATTCTATTATATTTCATTATCGAAATAAATGCAATTTGCGATTTCAAAACTCTCAGATTACAATACTTTGATTAACTGATAAAGCATTATAAGCAAACCCGGCCATAGCTAGCACCTTAAGGGATAGAAACGCTCCCTTGCACTACTGGGTGGGAAAGTTGTAGTGGGGGAAGTTGTGGATGCGGCCCGGGAGGTGAGAGAAGCTTGCTTGATGGCGCTAAAAGAATCGGCTTTAGCTCGGAACGGCTGCTGACCAGACCACCACGTCGCTGACCACCGAATCTTTTTGCCGCTTTCTCTGCCCCTTCCACATGAACAAAATACCTTTACATTACTGTCAGCTTGAAATTTGTTTGACAATAATGGACTTACAGTGGACGCAGCTTCCTGGTCCAATCCCATTCTCGAGTAACCGCGGATATAGCTACATCACTGCATACAAATTCTGAGGACGAAATGCTGGCCAAAGTAGCCTACAAATTGTACTGTAAGCATAAGGTCAAATATAACAGAGAACTGCCAAGGTGCCAGCCATACAAAAACCTGCAGCAGCGATGTATCTATCCTCAACACGTCCAGAAACCTAGGCCAAAGTTGGGAACATTATAGAAAAAGCGCCACACCACTAATCATCGTCCTGAAAAGCGCAGGAAGATTTCCGAGTTATTTCCTAACTACTCAGAATCTGAGGATCACACTGACTGTAAAGGTGCCAATTATGGTTTCAATCCGAAGTCAATTTTGCGACCTGCAGATATGCTGTCAATTTCTTTTATTATCCATCCATCTCATAACTCTTGGCCACCAGCAGACAAAGGAGATTATATCTCACCTACAGCATCCGAGATTTATAAGGAGCCGGTCCTTACATCTGTATCGTATATTTTGGGGGTTGCCCCTAGCCTTATAAAAAAATTGTGAGTCTTTGTTGAAGATACCCCTAAAGCGTGTCATTGCAGTTACAAGCATCAATCCCAGAGATTGACAATAGGTTAACAGACTGAAATCATTTGTGGATAATTACATATCATTCCGTCTGTTTAGGGAGCCGTTTTCGTTAGCGCAATTGCAAGCAGTAACAATTAATACCCAGATCAACACATTGACTACCACCATGCTTGCTTTTGCTAGCAAATACACCATCTCTTCCTTAAACCACGATTTAGAGTTCCAGCAATATAGCAGCCAGCTTTCTGAGTTGCCTTTGATAGAAATGGCAATTGCTTTTACCAATCAAGCTATTGACGAGTGTGGCAACAAGCCTCCTCCACTATGCATACTTCAAGCATTGATTTTCTGTACGCACCACCTACTCTGTAAGAATGTACGGGGAAGAGCATGGAGATCTCTCGGATTATGTATACGACTTGCCTATGAGATGAACCTGCACCTTGTGGATGCCAGCAGCATGGGCGATAGGAGTAGTCATGAAGAGGAGCCGTGGGTTATCAAAGAAGAAAAGCGACGCGCATGGTGGGCAATTTGGGAGATGGATACTTACGCGAGCGTCCTCCGCCGATGCCCGGCCGGTATAGACTGGAAGCAGCATAAGGTTCTACTTCCCGTTGACGATGAGTCATGGTCCCAAGGGCGTTCAAAACCCAGCTGTTTTCTCGGAACTGGCTTTATTTCCAGGTGCAAAGACCTGGCAGAAACTGGCAGTAAGTTGGAGAAAGCATGGTTCATCGTCATCAATTCTTTGGCCAAAGAGGCGCAAGCTCTCGCGAGTCCCGGTCCGGGCGACAGATTGTATATCAGCCGGCTTGCCACTGCATCAGGTTCTGACACCTCAAACGCGGAGCGGTACACATGGGAATCAAACAGTATTGACAGCCCGCAAGAGATCATGACGAAGCTTCGAACTCTGGAGAACTCATTACAGTACTGTATGACCGTCCTACCTACATCTCTCCGGTATGAGGGACAGTTCTTGGATTTTGGCGAGCGCGCGCGCAACATGAGGACTGGAAAATCATCGGAGTTGCGTCATCGACATAGCTCTATATTTGGAATTTATCTAATGGCGGGGTTGACCAAACTTATGATTCATAAGTATCAGGTGTTTCAACCAGATTCCCAAGGCACGCGTGAGCCTCACAATTTCCAACGCTATGAGGATTTGAGGGGTAAATGTTTCCCGCACCCTTCTATGAAGTCAATTCTCCAATCGAGACTGCTCGATCCCTCTGTTCGGCATTACTTAGCGGCTTCGGACTCAGTTCTTCGTATAATCAATAGCAGTAGTGATATGCGGCATTGCTACGTTAACCCGTTCTTATCGAGTACCGTGTGGCTCGCAGCTGCTGTTCAGCTAGTTCACCTCGAGATGGCCTCTGAACCCTCGGAGAAGGAACTTGTTGCCTCAAACTACGAAATTTTAAATATGGTGCACAACCAGTTCGTCCTTCGTTGGAACATGTCAATCACACCTCGAGACAATCTTGTCACGCTCGCAAATCGTCTCCGCAATGCTGTAGCTTGTTCATCAAATAATCCCATATCTTCCCATGATGGGCACCACAGCCAGAGATTTTCTATTCAGGAGAATTCCACAAACAGTCCAGACAATACAGCTGAGCTAGCAGGAGGGCCCGCTACTACTACAAGCCACTGTGAATACCAGGATAGAACATCTATTCCTCTAAACCCTCGATCAAGAACCATGCACGAAAGCCGTGGTGAGCCAGAGGGACACTGGGTAGGAAATGTTATCCCAGATCAGCTGAGCTCAAACGATGTGCCCACCGCTAGCAAAACGGTGATTCGACCGAACGAAAGCGAATATGGTTTATGTTTTGGACAACATCAGCCTGATTCATGGATTGCAGAACACGTCACGCGTCGAAGTGTGCCGTGCACTAGTGTACAACTATTGCCAGACAGACGGATGCCCATGAATTCGGAGCAGCAACCGGTTTCCCTATCGGATATATCCGGAATTCCACCCACAAACTACTATCCCAACTTGTCAACAGGTGGAGAAAATGATATGAGTAATTTTGCTCTCGAGTCGGACATCACTAGCCACTTCAGCGATTATACAAACTTGGATCTGTCCTTTATCATGGACAATGTTTTCTCGGGTTCTTATTCTATATAGCTGTGACAGCACGAGAAAGGAGGCCTCAAAGAAGGAGAGAAGGTTCAGGTTGAAGCAAGATGAGGTGGTTTTATGTCAACCTCGCTTGCAATCACCTGAGACATCGTTGTACCCCCCTAGGGATAGCAAATTACATGTGATTTCGATTATAATGCAAATAACGATCTTTCTTTCAGCTCACCTCAAACTCCAAAATTCGTTCACGGCTTACAGTGGCTTCTCGTTCCCATGAATTCTGGTGTCCCACGCGGTCTCGATCTTGGTCTTTCGGTAGGTCCATCTGCAGACATCTCTGGAAAGACTGGATCGTCCAACACCCATCCGCTCAATTCATATTCTGATACTTGCTGCACGGCAGTGGTCTGGCAGTGAGGACTTCCTCAGAACTGCTGTAGTCCCTGAACGCGCCGGCCGATACAATGATAGCGGGTAGAAACAAGAGGCTATTGGCAGAAAGTGGAGGCGCGGGCTTTAGGGCTGGTTTGGATGTACAAATCTGTACTGAATTCGTTGAATAATCCGCTCTCTTAGAGAGCGGATTTCGAATTCATGTTTAGATATCAGATTTGTAGATCTAATTGAACAATCTTTGCGTTGATGAATTCAATATATTCACTAGTAGGAAGAAATCTCTTTATAATAACACTTAATAATCTATATTTTCAGTAAATATATATATAAAACGAGAACAAGTAGTTCTTGTTTTTCATCTAAAGTTACTAATTGAAAGAAGATTTTTTTCTATTACTAGTAGGCTCTTATAAACAGTCGACTAGTTTATAATCGGGAAAAACAAGTATTCTCAATAAGTAAGTATCCCAGCTAATTAAAATCTATATGATCTTATTGATATTAAAATTATTATAGAAATTTTGATATTTCGATATTACTATAATCTAATTAAATCTAAAAATATAGTTTGTTTTAAAACTATATGTATATTAATAAATTTGTACTAAGAACAAATTATATATATATATTAATTTTTTGTTTTAATATATTTATTTTGAAAAGCATTAAAAAGAATATCTACTCAGTAAGAGTACTTATTTTTCTCAACTAGAAGCTAGTCGATCGCTTATATGAGTCGACTATTATAGTTTAATTAAATTTATCCTTTCTCTTTTGAAATAATTCTAATATCATTTATAAAGTAAGTCGATATATATGTGATTTAACTAATATTATGTTTTATGTAATAATAACTCTATTTAGTTATATTTTAAAACTTAATATTATTAATATCAAAAATGCTTTTTACGATTTTATATATATTAGTTTGAATTACTTTATTTTTAAAATATTATTATTTTAATTTTAATAAAACTAATTATATTTCAGTTCTAGAAATTAAAGATGATTTTAATTTTACTAGTTAATTATTTAACTTTTTTAACTTTCTCTTAAAAAGTGTATTTTTTTTAAAAAAAAATCCATAGTGAATTGTTTTCTTTTTTTTTCAACTTTTTAAATCGAATCGAGACTGATATAATAATATTAAATAAATAAAAGTAAAGACTAAAATGTAAAAAATACTATTTGAGATTACATTAATTATATTTTAACTTTTAAGGTATTAATATTTGAAATGTTCCTATGTAGGACTATTACTATATATTATATTTACAAACATACTCTGATATTTTAATACGCTTCATCTAATACTAGTTCTGATTAATTAAATAATTAGATCGGCCATCAATTTATACAAATAAATGTTTCGGGCAGACAAGAAAATCCCCTTCATGACCGACTTATTATTTAGTTGCTATCTTCAAGTTTTATTAAGAATTCTAGGATTTCATAATAAAAAGGGTTGCAAGATGTGGTAGATGGCATTCAATATGACACCTGTCAGAGGGACCTCGCTGAGGCATTTCGAGGCCAAAATCTCTTCTATTGTATTTTCCATTCCTTTGGAAATGAACCAGCTACCTTCTTCAGTCCCCTCCAAGCCTCTATGACCTCTCATCTCATCCTCAACCAGATGGTGTGCAGAGAAATTGTACAGCACACTTGATGCGAGAAGAAGCGAGTCTGAATCTCTCATGTGCCTGGCTGCTCGTGACTTCATCAAAATGCGGATGAGTCAGCGAATGACATGGCTTGTGATGCACGTCCAACTATCGGGAATTTTTCCCACACCGCTTTGGTGGCACCCATCACGCAAGCGACGGACCATCTTCGCACTGATTTCGCACTTTGGACTGATTTCGTATTTCGGTCTTTCACACAAGCCTCATCCACATCTTCTTTCCACACCTCAACCCTTGCCTATGCAAATTGATGTCAGGCAAAGGACGTCCGGAGATCTGGTACGATCAGAGCGTGATATTTACGAAATCAATTCCGATAAAGCTTCAAGATAAAGGATTGAGATTGAATTCTATTAGTAATTCTAGGACTCATATAATGAATTTAAAAGGGAATATATTAAGTAGAAATTTTATTAATAAAGATCAGTTTATTATCAATGCTTTCGTATTATAATAAGATAATAATCAATTTGAATTTGATTCACTTAATTATATAAAAAAAGTAATTTAATCAAAATATAAAACCATTTTTTTATTTAATTATTATAACTAAGATGAACAATTATATAAAAGAGTTTCGAATTTAGAATAGAAAGAAAGAGTAAATCGACTTCGCTTTTAAGCTTTTGATAAATTTCTTTTTAAACATGTAGTATAATAATAGTTATTGTTTACAATGAAGGAGTAGGCCAGTGGAATGTATATAATATTGACTATATAGATTAATTGTATTAAGATAAAATCTAACTATAAAATGAAAGTGATATATATATAATAGTATAATACATATACTACAATTTCCAATACCCCCCCCAGAAAGCTTACTTTTTTAATTTTTATAATTAGTTTTGAAGCTTTAATATATTCTTGAATTTCTCAAAAATCATTTTTGTATATGGTTTTATTAATTCATTTACAGCTGTATTATTTATATTAATATAATTAATATTAATTAAATGTTTTTTTTTAAATTCCCAAATAAAGTAATAACATATATTAATATACTTTGATCGTTTATATAAATAAAAGTTTTTAATTAATACTAATACTTCTTAATTATCTTCTAGTGTTTGAATTTTGTCATTATTCTTGATATACTATAATTGCTTTAAATCTTTTAAGAATTAAACTACCTATTACTTTTGTTTAGTAAATATTACCATAGAAATATATTCAGCTTTTATATTAAATATAATTATAGATATCTGCTTTTTGTGTGCCTATAAGATTGGTTTATTATAAAATATTATTATTTTATTAAAAATACTTTTCCAATCAATTTTATTATTTATCTAATCTATATCAATATATGCTTTGATAATCTATTATAAAAGATTATATTTTTTACAAATATCTAATTAAACTTTCCCAAACCCAAAACATAATTTTTAATTAATAATTAATCTCAAATATTTTGTAAGGTTTTTGAATATAACATTATAATATTTAATAGGATTTGATATAGCTTATACTAATCTCCCAAAACTGAATACAATATTCAATTTAATATAAACTATAGAATAAATCGCATTATCAATTACTTATTAATATTTATTCGTATTAATAAACTTATTATCTAAAAATGTTAATTACAATTAATTATAATTCGAGATTGATATCTTTCTTAAAATATATTGATTATAGAAGATTTTGAAATAAGTAAATATTATATTTAAATATTCTTTTTGATTTATAATTAATATTTTTTTAGATTTGTTATAAATAATATATGCTTTTAAAATCTTACTAATCTTTTCTAAATTTTTAATATTGAATTGAGTTAAAAGATTATAATAAAATTATTTAATATCTTGTTTTGTATAGTAACAATAATAATATTATTTATGTAAATTAGAAGAAATAGTTATTGTAAATGATTAATATATAAATATAGATTTATAAAGTTTTATATAAAATCTATTTTAATTAACTTTTTTTAAAAAAAAGACTTCTGTCACGGTGTGGATACACGTGACCGATAAGCGATAAGCTAGGCCCTATTAAACTAGCTTACAAATAAAAACTCTATATATCTTTATATTGAAAGATCCTATATTATAACTCTTTAAACTACATCTTAATCTATACTCTATACCTACTATTCTTAATATTATCAAATATAAATTCCTAATCCCACCTATCTACTCTATAACACTATATAACTCCTATTAATATTATTACAATAATAACATTAACTCTACACCTATTTAATTATCCAGAAAATACTTTTGAGCTCAATATAATTATAATAAAGAATTCTTAAACTTAATATTAATACCTCCAATCAATAACTATATATACTATTGAATTAGAAAAAGCTAATCTATCTTTTGAATATGAAATTCAAAAAATATTTATTAAAAAATATATAAAATCTTCCTATATAAACAAATCGTTATATAAAATATCTATCTATTTAATTACTTTATTGAATTTATATCTATTCTTATTATATTCTCTAAAACAATACCTATCAAATCTATTCTCGAATAATCAAATATTACTATACCCACTCTATTTACTATTATTTACTTAAATAAATATATTCTCGATTCCAAAGAGTTTAATAATTTCCAATTTAATTTGTAAAAATTCATCTAATAAATATATACAAAAATAAACTCAAATTCGAATCATTTCTTTATTACCTTTATTTATCTAATTTATACTATTAAAAAACTTATTAAAAGAATTTATAAATTAATCCTTTTTAAGATTATTTATAATATTTTATAATTTATCAATTATAACTTACTTTTGAAATACTTAAAAAATACTTTTAAAAACCCCAATTACAAACAAAACATCTAAATCAATTATATCTATTCAAATAAAAATACCTCAATTTTAATATCTATTTCATTAAATTCTAAAAATTAATTCTAAAAAACAAAATATCTAATAATACTCTAACTCTATTACTATTCTAAGAAATCTTCTAAGAATTATAAAATATATTATTTT